CTTCTTCTTCTTCTTTTTTTTTTTTTTTTTTTTTCATATAGGGTTCGAGCTTTGATTTGCTTGGGGACGACGTGGCTGCCTTTTTTAGTTTTTTTTGGGTCTTTTTGGAGATCTCGGGCTCCACCTCGTGATTTACTTGGTGTCTTTTAGTTTTTGTTTGTTATAAGTGCATCAACTCTTTTTTAGTTTTTTTGCATGTTCATAGTTTCTATTTGTAATTTTTTACTTGTTAGATTTTAAAAATTATAGTTTGCAGTTGTAGTTCTGCAAAACGACCCATTAATTAATGAATAGAGCGGGTTATTTTCGAGTTGGCAGATTGAACCTTTTTTTTGTAGCCAAAGTTAGAAAAGGGGAGGGGGGAGGGAACTTACACACATAGGTATTATAGGGGCTTGAACCCAAGATCACTTTTTTTTTTTTTTAGGTCAACAACCCAATACCACTTGAGAGCACACCAAAGTCCAGGCCAATCAAACTAACACCCTATTTATAAATAAAGAAAATCAATATAGGTGGCTTTCTCTTTCATTAATTTGTGGAAAAAAAAAATCCTATAAGTAGTGAAAAATCTTATAATATGTTTTTTTTTTTTTTTTTTTTTGGTTTGAACCACGAGGTGGTCCTGGATGGGCCCCAACTATGGGTGGCACCTTTAAGCCTTAACCACAACCCAGACTAATCCCCGCTCACACCGGGTCGGCCCGTAAGGGGTAAAGTGCTGGCCAAAGTGGTGACTCCATACGAGAGCAAGGATCGAACCCCTGACCTTCTCTTAAGGAATGAGAGTGCCGAACCACTCACACCAACCACCTTGGTTTATAATATGTTTTTTTGGTAAAAAGAAAGTCATAATTTGGTCCAACTCAAAAAATTAAAAGAATAATTAAGAAAATGTATGTACAAAAATAGTATATTAGCCTAATTTAGGCAATGCGAGCTGCAATCTTACCCGGCCTGGACCCGTCTAGCCCACCCGGCCCATACTCTTCATACCCAAAAAAAAAACAGAAGGTGTCTTTTGTGTTCTAAATTTCTGCTCCAGGCGCCGCTCCAGCCTCCTCTCCTTTGCTCTGTAGCTGTAAGTCCTCTTCTTTTCCGTCTTCGAATTTCAGTACTCCTCCGTACCATTGACCTGAACCACGTGCATCTCTGATTCTCTTCTTCTTATTGTCATTCAGTTTCATTTTATTTTATTTTATTCTAAATTCTACTTTAGTGATTTTAGGAATTAGGGATTCAGTTGGGCATTTAGGACTTAGGGATTAAATTTCGAAATTCTAATTTAGGGATTCAGTCAATGCCTAATTTATGAGCTGTGGCTTTATGAATTATCAAGTGGACTACTTGTTTCTAATTGATCATTGATAATTGTATCATTATAGTTTTTAATTGCTCTTTTTGGTAATTTCAGATTTTAGCCTTACAATTTTAGTGGCCGGGCAGCTTGCAATCTTGTGTAGACAGGTTAGTAGGTTGTTTTAGTATTAAGGGAAGTTGTGTTACTAAAGTACCAGTACCTAAGTTCTTGGTTGACATGGTTGTTGTGAATTGTAAGATTATCTTACTATTGATTAACCCACTTGCTGCTGATATTAGGAAATGGAGTTATTATGAAACTGAAATGAATTTGAATGTGCTTGTTTCTTATGCTATTAGATTTTATGTGAGTGTGATGCTAATCAGCAATTGAAATACACATCTTTTGGTGTTAATATTTGTTATTGACTTCTGCAGATATCTGTCTTTGTTTGAAATGGGTTGGAAAGCGGCTGAGAAACTCATTAGGCACTGGAAGGTTCTCAGAGGAGATAATGTGAGGGCGATGAAGATCTTGACCTCTTTGCGTATTTATCTATCTATATCTATAACTGAACTATTCTCATCTCATTTACAGGTGATGATAATAAGGGGCAAAGACAAGGGCGAGACGGGTATCATCAAGCGAGTGATTCGTTCCCAGAATCGTGTCATTGTGGAAGGCAAAAATCTGGTATCAGTCTATACGTATTATTGGAATAATGTTCCTATCTGATTTTGCCTTACATTCTTTGTACGATTTTCTATTCTTTTTCATTCTTTAGTTTAGCTTTTAGAAAACTTGTTAAGAATCAGGTCTTTATTTTTTTTCCTTTTTTGCATAAGCTGAATTGGGTCAGTGGATATGGTTGATTGTCTATAAACTGTTTGGTTATTTGTGGCAAACATCTTTATTGGTTGGAAGCTCTTCTAATGTTCATAGTATTTGACCCTTATAGTTTATTATAATTCATTTAAATGTTCAGTGGCTATTCCAATGTTGAACAAGTACTCTGTCTTTGCAGGTAAAGAAACATATCAAGCAAGGCCAAGGTCATGAAGGTGGAATTTTTACTGTTGAAGCCCCTCTTCATGCCTCAAATGTGCAAGTTGTTGATCCAGTTACAGGGTATTCGTGCATTGTTAACATTATGTTTCAACGACTGTTGGTGTTTTGTTCTTTGTCTTTCTATTCCAACGCGGTGTTTTTTTTTGTGTGTGCAGGAAGCCTGTTAAGGTCGGGGTTAAATATCTTGAGGATGGAACAAAAGTTCGAGTATCTAGGGGACTAGGTGCATCTGGATCTATAATCCCTCGTCCTGAGATCTTGAAGATAAGGACTACTCCAAGACCTACTGTTGGTACTTATCTGAAGTCCCGAGATCTATAATGTTCCTTGCAAAAGATATCTTCGTTTACCATATTTTATGCTGATACTCCGTAATAAACTTTGGTTGCAGCGGGTCCCAAGGATACGCCTATGGATGTCGTGTTGGAGAAGACTTACGATGCTAAAACAGGGAAGGGCATGCCTGAACTTTGAGAGAAGATGCGTTTCAGGCCAGATGGAATATGTTACAGAAAAGTTGGAAGCATATTAGTTGTGATTTTTGGCGAAGGCTTTCTATTTGTTATTTCGTTGGTCGATTGTACAAGCAGATGGCTTGATTTCTGTAGAGTTGTTCTCTATACATCATGTCTCATCTTTCTAGGGCTCTTATTTCTACGTTCTAAGTGCGAAGAATATCAAGTTGAGGAATTTATTTGCATATCAACCTACGCATCTAGGGGTTATCAAGTTCAGTTTGAGGAGAATTCGAGATTGAATTCTTTACAAGTGAAGGAGACTGATGTGGGACAAGGAAAGTAAAACATTCAGAGTCAAGAAAAAGGGATGCAAATTCAGAAAATGATGCTCAAGATCTGTATGATGCAAGCAAGATGTATCGCTGGGATTTTAGATGCTCATAAACTAACGCAACCTGCGGGCCTATACCATGTTTTACAGTCGCTATTTTCATCCGAAAGGGTTAATTTGTTGATTCATTCCAAAATTAAACGAGTTACTAAAATTCTAACTCATTAATTTGTTGATTAACAGAAACTTTAAATTCAGTTTAACAACATTAGGTTAACATGCACTTAAAATTTAAAGCAAATTACGAGAATTGTTTCAATGTTTCGACCAAGTACAGTACAAAACAACACTACTGTTATTATTATTATTATTTTATTTATACAAGCGATATTGGGGAAAAGGAGGTTGAACTGAAGACCTCCACCAACTGAATTATTACCTGCTGGTAAAAAGAAAACTAAATTTGAGTTTCAAAATTGGGCTTGGATTGAGATTGGATTTGGGAGGGCCTCAACTCTTCCCTAACCGAAAAATGTTTTCAGTTTTAACCCGCTCAGTCGGGTCAAATCTCAAACTGGGTTCAGGCTAAACCGACTTTAAAAATAAGGAGGAAACCGCAAATATAAACATATAAAAATTGAAGGGAAGAAAAGGAAAATCAACGGCGGCAAACGAAGGAAGATACGCCCAGATACGAGAGAGCTCCGAGTCTATTTCATTGATATTTACACTTGAGAGTCTTCTTTTGTACTTGTTTGGTTTGTGAGAAAATTTAAAATAGTAAGTTCAAGAAGAAGAGGAAAACAAAAAGAACGGAGCAAATTTTAATCTTAGCTTCTTGGATTCGAACCAGCGATGAGAGCCATGCTTCTAACTTCACCGTCATACTGCAGACCCCAACAAGCCCTTCAGCAACAACCTTCTACGGTTTTCTTCGACTTCCCTTCATTTTATAGAAATAATAGAAATTAATTTGCTTTATTATTATTATTTTTTTTTGTTCATTTCAAATTTTTACAAATTTGTTTGCAGAGTTGGAGTTTATTTTTAGGAGGCTCCCATGTATCGTTCAGTAGAGGGCATAATCTGGCGCGGCCTTGCTCACGGGTTCGATTGCGTTCAGCTTCACGCAGCCTAGGTCAGTTTCTTTGAATTTGGAAATTGATTTCTGTGTTTTTCTTATGTATTTATTAAATTAGGGATATTTACATTCCGAGACTGAATCATTTGGTCAGAGGTTGTTCTGGAAGCATCAGTTGTATTTTTCAATAATTTAATATTGAATTTCAGAGATTTCAGAGTCCTCCAAAATTGATTTCTTTTGTGTGCAATTTTGAGATAGTAATATTAATTATTTCAAATTGCAACCTATCATCAAGTTCAACATATTTATAATCTTGATTTGAACTGAATTATCTAGACTCATGTACTGACTGAACTTTAGGCTGTGTTGGAGACGCTGTTTAAAACGGATTGGCATACTATGTACTTGTTTTTGTTGACAATATATATCTTGTATCTCTGTGTATCTTGTCCTGATACGAATTGGTGTTGTTAATGGTTGCCATGCTTTTCAAGCACTGTGCCGCCCATGTTGCTTCAATGCAACAGTATCAAAATAATTCCCAAATTGAATTAGGTTTAAAGCGATGATTAGTTAGTTCAACAGCAAACATGTAGGTGTTTATTGGAAGGTTTAGGGATAGAAGTCCTGTGAATTCTTATATTAATTTATGTTGAAGCCTTGAGAATAAGAAGAGATGTGTGGATTAACCATCAGGTGCCTAGAGAAGCAAAAGCCCCTCCTAAGGTAAGATTAGAATTAATACCTGTGATTTGGTTCAAAGGAAAAGGCCTGGCTGGTATTTTTCTCCTTACTGGTGTGTTATGTGCAAAAGGGACAGCGAGACTGTGGATAATCTGTTTTTGCTTTGCCCTGTTGCCTCTTCCTTGTGGGCTAACTTGTTTCAGGTGGCAGGACTAACGTGGGGTAGCTTCGCATCGTGTAGTGCGGTGCTTGAAGCTAGATTGAACTTCTTTGGTGGTAAGAGGAAGGGTTCAGTGTTGGACAATTGTGCCATGATGGCTGTTTTTTGGGTAATTTGGGGGGAAAAGAATAGGAGATTTTTTGAGGATGTGTTAGGGGATGAGGTAGAGCAGCTTTGGGATCGTATCTGATTCTGGGCATTTCCATGGGCGTCTATTTCAGCAGAATAGGGAGATTAGCTTTCAGCTCATCCATCTAGACTGGAAAGCCGTAGTTTTGTAATGTAGAGTTTTTTTTAGCCTTTCTGTTTTGTGTGGTGGCCTTCTTGGCCACCTCTTGTTCCGTTGGTGTCTTGTTCTTTTTTGAAAAAAAATTGTCTCTTTTCCAAAAAAGAAAAAAAAAAAAAAAAGAGAAAAAGAATAAGAAGAGATGAATGGGATGTCCAAACTTGCTCTTTGATTTGCAATATTGACAATTGTATTATTCCAGATATGAAAAATAATCAAAGATCATACTTAGGTTCAGTAGGGACATGAACTCCAGGTATGCCATACTGTTTTGAATTTCACAGACCGTTTCAAGCCCAAACAAAAGGTGATTAACAGCCATTTTAAGACTTTGTTACATCCCAAAAGCATGCATCCAGTGGAGCAGAGAAAGAACCCATACAATGTATGTGTGTAATGCTCTTTTTGTTGTATAGGTGTTAAGATTGTCCATGTAACAGGTGTGCTGTGACCCTGAGTCTCTTTTTACTTATCCCTAGTTGGATGTTTGATGGTCATCTATTTCATTACTGTACAGTGGTTAAGGCAGTTGCTACTCCAAATTCAGCAGTCGAGTTGTCACTGACTGCGGAGAACGTTGAAAGTGTATTGGATGAAATCCGACCATATCTGATTTCTGATGGGGGAAATGTTGCATTACATGAAATTGAAGGAAATGTAGTGCGCTTGAAGCTACAGGGAGCATGTGGCTCCTGTCCAAGCTCTGTTATGACAATGAAAATGGGTATTGAGCGTCGTTTAATGGAAAAAATCCCTGAAATAGTTGCAGTGGAACCAATAGCAGATGGAGAAACAGGGCTTGAACTGAATGAAGACAATATAGAGAAGGTAATATTTCATTCGAAATATTCACTCCCCTTCAACAATTATATTGGATATACTTTCCATGCTTACTTCTTTACACATACAGAAAGGGTTTTCATTAGATAGTCCAAGTAGCTATTTTTACTACTGCTATTTAAAGGATTATGGTTTAAGAAAAAAGTATTCTGAGTTTATTATATGTATTTGATATAGGAAATTGAACTAATACAAAATTTAAGAAAATTGTTCTGTGTTGTTTGTTTCCTTTCTAAGGCTTTGGAAACCCTTTTCCAGTTGTCAACATACAATAAAACCTTGCATATTGCTTAATTGCATTACTTTGCTTCTTCTTTAGCTTACCTACTGTTTAACAGTGTGGGAGAAATTTTGTGCCTTGATTTGACAGTTGCCATCTTATGTATACATGCACAAACTGATCCAGGTACTGGAAGAAATTAGACCCTACTTAGTAGGGGCAGCAGGTGGATCTCTTGAACTTGTAACAATCAAGGAGCCTATAGTGAAAGTCCGTATCACAGGTCCAGCAGCCGGGGTAATGACTGTAAGGGTTGCTGTCACACAGAAATTGAGAGAGAAAATCCCATCAATTGCAGCAGTTCAACTACTGTAACATTTTTGAGCTGAAACAAAGAGGAACACAATATGATATCGTTACATTCTTCTGCAGATACGAGTTGATGTACTCTGCAAATTTCTACAAATAGCCTGATCATGTACAGTTAATAAGTGATAAATAGTGGAGCACTACTTAAAGGAAATATAAGAGTGAATTTCGTTGAGAGCAGCTCGTATTCGTTGCTCATTGAAATCTTTGCCGGGGGGCCATTGTCAAACTTCCAGTATGTTGTTATCGATTGACTGTACAGTGTAAACTACTTGGTAATGAATTCAATCAGCGTAGTCACCAACAGGTGTTCCTACTTTAAATGGAAAATATTATATTGCAAATTGTCTGTTGAATTTGGAATGTAGCCTCCAAATGTGCTTCAAATCTTTGTTTGTTGATTTGCTTTCATCCTTTCAATCAATTCCAATGAGTAATATATTTAAAATTGGTCCCTTTTTAAAGATCTCTGAGAATATTTCAATGGTACAATTTTTTAATGTTATTAAATTTATCTTTTTTATTTTATTTGAGTACGTAAAAAGGCATGTATAACTATTGATCTAAAGTTATTAAATTGTACATTGCAAGTAAAATTGCATTTGAATTGCAATTCAATAAATACTAAAATTGAACTATTCAACAATGATTGTGGATGCTCTTAAAATAAACAAAAAACTTGACATAATTTAATAACAATGACGAAAGCGAGGGTCAAGTAAAAGCGTGAGGACAAGAGAAGTCAATAACTGAATTCAGGGAGCAAAGCACAAATCAAGTACAAGTTGAGGGACCAATGCCATAATAACCCTTTTAAAAAATAGTCTGATCATGTACAATTAACAAGTGAGATGCAATGTCAACAAGGTTTAGCCTAGAGAAAAAGGATTTTGACTTGCAAACCCTTCCCGCTTGTATCTTTTTTTAAATAAATTGTAAGATGCAATTGCAGACCAATGCAATAATCACCCTATTTGCAAATTAAACTACACAATATTCAAAATTTTAAAAATAATAACAACTATATTATAAGAGTTCAAAGCGGCCCTTTTAAGACTGCATTTTCAAAGACTTCATTTGCTTTTCCAAGGAGGCTAGCTTGTGCGCATTGGATTCTTGAATCTTCTCAGAGGTCTTTTCTTGGTACCCAGGAGCACTTATCATCAACAGCAGATTTTCCCGTTGCCTGTTAGTTTTAATAAAATCAATTAGTACCTACCAGTGGACTAGTGTTATTCAAGTCCTAAACAGAGAGAAACCAATGCAAAATTCAAAGCCATTTACCAAAAACACCAGATTGACAACCATCCTAGGTAATAATCCAAATCCAGAACACCTTTTGCCTCATCTTTGAATAACATTATACACATTACAATTATAATGTATTGAAATCCAAGATTTGCACAGTTTTCTGAAAAAATATGTTTGCCTTGTGATTAAGAGAACATCCCTAAGAACCATTACTACAAAATAAGCAACCAACCCCGTGACACCTTGATAGTGTGTGTGTGAAAAAACCCCCTCCCCTTTCCTAACTTTGGAAAAATAAGCAACCAACCAATCAAAGGCCAATTTTCAAATATCACAAACGATAAATAGAACAGTGCAATGCATCGCAAGTAAAATCTTTGAATCATGTGCTTACAGTATGAGTTTTTCCATCTTCTCTCTGATCTTTTCAGGGTCTGCCTTTACTCTTGGAACCTTCAGAAAAACCGAAAGGTTTTCATTTACATCAGACATCACATATCCATCGGATTCGGTTGGCAGTGGAAAGCAGTCATTCGGGCTGACTACCTGTAGGGATAAGAATAAGGCATCCTTTTGTTCAGCACCAAGGGGCAAAAGAATTATTGTCAAAAGAAAATATGCTAAAGCAGATATTTTGAAAGCAAAGCAAATCATTTACTGTCAAAGATGACAAATAGGCAAGAGTTTCAATCTCCAGTTGATGGCTGCATATTATCTGCCGATCCAAAATCGTTTGACAAATCACAAAAGCTGATAGCCTAAAAGAAACATAGAAAGAGAATGAGAAACTAGTTATATCCAACTTATAACATGACATATCAAAAGTTCAGAGATCTTAAGAAACAGGAAAGATGTCACACTGCACTAACAAGATGTACCTTTCACGACTTTCTTTTGCAAGTGAACGGAGAGATTTCACAAGAGACTCTATAAGGTTCATCTCAGACTCCACCCTTTCATTCGTCCAGTACTGGAAGAATAACATGACGGAGGTAGTTACTACACAAACTCAATTCAGATCAATAGTCAAACATTGTATGTGCAGTCCTTTATGGCCTAAGAAGAGTAATGAAGCAAGTGAACTTTTTGCAGGACCATTTGCCTCTAGTTTAGGCTGGTCAGCAACATAGTTAAAAGTTAAAAAAGAGGACGACAGGAAAAAAAGCAATTTCCTCATTTATTACACAACAATATAAGAAAAATAAATATCAAGTGAATAGTGAAAGAACTTAAAACAAACCATGATCCATATGAACTTGGGACATGGCCTGCATGAGCTTGTGGCCGCTGTGTAAAATCAGCCGAAGGTATTACACAATTATACTATGGTTTATCGGATATCATATCACATTACTACGTGCATGTTCAAAGAAAGCAACTATTTATTTATTCTGTTGTGCCTCTCTTTTAGTAAAACTAAACTAACCTCTGTAGTGGATGGGTAATCACATATCATAATTGATGTTGCCCTCTTGTGACTCCCTGAAGATGGAAGACGCTGCCACAGTTCTTCTGTGACAAATGGCATAAACGGATGGAGCAACCGTAGCCCATTTTCAAGACATAACCATAGTGTGTCTCGTGCAAATCCCCTTTCAGACACAAACTTTGGATCATTACCAGAAAAGTAAGGCTTGATAGCTTCAATAAAAACATCACACAACTGGTACTGCCACCAAGCATGCACTGCAGTGGCTGCATCTGATAACTCGTACGATTCCAGTGACAAAACAGTTTTGGATATGGCCTTATTCAGTACCGAGAGTATCCACTGGCAACTAAATGGAAACACATTTGGATTTACACTTGAAGGTGGAACATATTCATCCCCAAGTATGCTCAGAGCAAATCGTACGGCATTCCACAATTTATTACACCAGATACTATAGCCCTCAACCCTTTGGACGTCCAGATTTATCTTATCATGCTGACAAGACAACGAAATAGATTATTAGATCCATGTGAGAAAACAATTACTTGAATAAAATAGTAAGACAGAAGACTAAACCTGAGCAGTATAAGACACAAGAGCAAAACGCAGTGCATCTGCACCACATTCCTCAATCCCATTAGGAAAGTCTTTCTTTAGACCTTCTTCCGAGGAAGCTACTTCCTTGGCATCCAAATTTCCCTCTAAAAGCTTCTTCTGTAGACCTTCAAGGGTGACACCATTTATTACATCAACTGGATCAATGACATTTCCCAACGATTTTGACATTTTACGCCCATGTGCATCACGAATCATCGGGTGCAAATATACCTGCAGACCGACAAAAGTTCACTGTCACTTCAGTAAGCAAAACATAAAATAAAAATCATCAGAGGAAGATATACATAGCATAACACATATTCATTCTTCAGCTATCTGTGCATAAAATCAGAGCATAAAGTGCACAATCTTGCAGCTTACTTCCACTTGCTTGTTTTAAAACCCACCCTTAATAAAATGAAAAAAAAATATATAATAATAAACAAAAAGCCTCCTGATTTGAATGAGGGAAAGCTTGTTTTCAGCTTCTTGCTATGAGAAGAAGCTAGCTAAACAAAAGATGCTTTTAAAAAAAAAATTCCTGATTCCTTGCTATGAGATGTGCCTCACTCCACTTTTTTTTTTAAAAGCTGTTTATAGCATAGATCCCCATCTATAATATAAAAAATAAAAACATTATGCACACCTTGGTAAAAGGTACATTGCCACCCAATGTCATTCCGAGCATGACCATACGGGCAACCCAGAAAAAAAGAATATCATGCCCAGTTTCAAGAACTGAAGTCGGATAAAACGCCTTTAGATCTTCAGTGTCATCTGGCCAGCCCAAAACAGACATTGGGAAGAGACCAGAAGAAAACCATGTGTCAAGGACATCAGGATCCTGAATTAATTGAAACTTCCCCTCATATCTATCACTAGCCTGTGCATGAGCCTCTTCCTCATTTCTTGCAACCACCCATCGCGCATCAACTACTCCAAAATATTCCGGCTTATCACTCTGGTATACAACATACCAGGCAGGAACACGGTGACCCCACCAAAGTTGCCTCGAAACGCACCAATCACGAATGTTTTCAAGCCATCTGTGATTGTTAGACCAGAACTAAGTAATTTTTTTTCTTTCATAGGAAACTGATGAAGTATAGAAAGAAAAGAACCAAAAACAGACAATAAATAAATAAATAACGCATGCATGTTTCAAAGGATAAGACCTCTTCCATTCAGAAGTATACTGTCTGGGGATGATCTCAAGCTTTCTATCTTCATCATCTATGGCAGCATCAAGGGCTTGCTTTCCCATACCATTGCATTTTAAGTACCATTGGGGCTTTATCATGGGTTCCACAACATCTTGGCTTCTAGAGCAAATTCCAAGGCGCATCTCATTGTTCTTTGCTTCTTTGAAGAGGCCCTAAATGCCATGAGAAAACTGTCACCAAAACATCCATAACACCATAGAGAAACTGACGCAAATAGACAGTACCCTCCATCAACTAGCAAGATTGTGCAACTACAGACTGGTGATGCTGATAAGTGATGCAATTACAAATTATGTTAAATTTCTGTGAAGTGTATGGGATGAAGGGAATGCAAACAATTTCAGCTTCAAAATTCATTGTTTGACAGAGTATCCAGGTGGAAAAGAGTATTGAAGAGAGGAAGGAGAGTGTCGGTCAAAGTGTCAGAGATATTACTTCTAGCAGCGACAGTCTAGCTCAGGAGGTCACCACCAATAACAAATATACCGATCTCTTTGTTAAGCATTTATCAGTCACATAGGTATGTCGATGATCAGTACATAGGTTTCAAAGCACTGTAGTAATGTAAAATAGATACCTTCTTCTTTAGTTCTTCAGTCACTGCCTCTCGGGCTTTGAAACGTGGC